AATGATGAGCTGAAGGGAAGTAGTATAAAATCAAAGGAATATTGGATGAATTGAGACTAAAAATTAACAAATCCCTGGGACCTGATAAGTTTTGAAAGAGGAGGTGATAGAGGTAGTGGGTGCATTCATTAGTCATCAACTTTCAAAATTCCACAGATTATGGAATGGCAACTGCAAATTGGAAGATGACCAACCTAACACATTTATTTACGGTAGGAGGGAGAGAGAAAACAGAGCACTATATACTTGTTAGCCTGACAGGAGTATTAGGGAAAATATTAGAATCTATTAGAAACGATGTGATAACAACACCTAGAAAATAACGATCTGATCGGGCAGAGTCAACGTGGAATTATGAATAGGGAATTATGTTTTACAAACTTTTTTTTCAGAATGTTACTGGCAGACTAGATAAGGGGAATCATTGAGTGTGATGTGTTTGGATTTTCAGAATATTTTAATAAGGACCCGCACAGATCGCTAGTTGAAAAAAAACTACTATCCCCTACCTGCATCCGCCCACACATCAATGAATACCGCTCACGCCCGGACTTCAAACACTTTTTCCGCTGCCTCCGCCTCCGCGCTTATTTCTTTAACCGCGAGTCTAACCCACCCTCTACAGACCCTTTCTCCCGCCTCCTCCTGGACATCACCCCAAGGCCTCCTACCCTCCCTCGACCTCTTCATCTCCAACTGCCATCGCGACATCGATCACCTCAACCTCTCTACCCCTCTCACCCACTCCAACGTCTCCCCCACAGCATGTGCAGCCCTCCGCTCCAACCTCAACCTCACCATCAAACCCGCTGATGGGGGGGGGGGTGCAGTAGTGGTCTGGCGCAATGACCTCTATATCGCGGAGGCCAGGTGCTAACACTCTGACACCTCCTACTACGGCCCCCTTGATCATGACCCCACCCCTGACCACCAAAACATCATCTCTCAAACCATTCACTACCTCGTCACCTCAGGTGACCTCCCAATCAAGCCTCCAACCTCATCGTTCCTAACCCCGTACCGCTCGTTTCTATCTCCTTCCCAAAATCCACAAACCCGACTGCCCTGGCCAACCCATTGTCTCTGTCTGCTCCTGCCCCACTGAACTCATCTCCCCTTCCCTCAACTCTGTCTTGTGCCCCCGGTCCAGGAACTTCCCGCCTACATTCGGGACACTATTCATGCCTCCACCTCCTCCAATTCACTGGCCTCTAAAACCTCATCTTCACTATGGACGTCCAATCCCTGTGCATTTGTATCCCCCACGCAGATGACCTAAAAGCCCCCTGCTTCTTCCTCTCCCAGAGGCTCAATCAATCCCCTTCCATCGACACCCTCATCTAGTTAACGCAACTTGTCCTTACCCTTAACAACTTCTCCTTTAACTCTTCCCACTTCTTACAAACTAAGGGAGTGGCTATGGGCACCCATATGGGTCCGGGCTATATCTGTTTCT